CTCAGTTTCTCTTGACATCATCTTCTAATTTGGCATACCAAATGGCCGCCACACCTGACAGGGTTCGGCCGAACAGAGACAGCTTCTGCAATCTGGTGAGGCCCATTGGCCTTAAGATCCATGGCTGTAAGGACGGCTTGTCTATGTACTCGAGAAGCCATAAGCAGTCCCCAGATGGAGATGTCTGCTTGTATCTTTTTCAATTGTCTCAATACGGCCTCATCCTCGAGTTGCTTTTCTTTTTGCTTCTCTGCCTCCTTATCTTTTCCAGACGCCTCTGGTTGATCTAGGTGTGGAGGCTTGAAGTACCGTCCACTCCTAGTCATGTGATCGACTTCGCCGATATACCAGGTATCATCTGGTTGGTTACCTTCCCAATCCTCGTCCATGTGGGCAAGACATAGATCATCGTCTTCCCACCACATGCCATCTGCAGCTGACAGGCACCTGTCCGGTTCTGGCATGACTGTTCCGATACTTATGGTACCTTCTATTGTTATGCTCGCAGCATTCTCCATTTCTGTACTTGTGGTAGTCTCAACCCCCACGTGGGCTTTTGCCTTCCTGATCCTCTCAGAATCTTCGAATCTTTCCTGTTCTGACGGTGTCAATGCGGTAGATTGTTCAATGATTCCTGTACTCAAAATGCTCCATTCCCGAGCGAAACTCTCGACACCGGTGCTCTCCGGCGATGTATTCTGTTCTTCGACCATCCCGGCTGTTACTGATATTCCTCCCCCTGTCGGGCCTTGTTCTGACTGAAACTCTCCTACCACATCTGGCTGATCGTCCAACCATCCCATGGCCTCGGCCGATTCCTCATAATCGAACCAATTGACGGCTGAGTCTTCTGGATCCTGGTTACTGTAAAACTGGAACTTGGCAAGATCTTCTTCCACAGCTGTCAAATCATCTGTTCCCTGTCCTGGACTGTCCCCTTGGATTGCACATTGCTTTCCTCCTACTGGAAATTCCACATCTGGTCTATTCTGGCCCATTGTTGAAATGTAGTCACTCGGACTATAAGCATTCCCAACATCACTCCCAGACTCCGCAGACTCTGGCTCAACAACCCCCTTCTCCTTTGGAGTCTTCTCTCTCCCGTTCTTGATGGTCACCACCACTGGCTTGGGTTGGGTTATGGAGACGTCCATCATGCACAAATCGGTGTAATCAGGAAGGAAAACCTCCAGCTTAGGCAGGTAGGAAGGTGTGATATGGATACTAGGATCGTAGGACGCGACCCCAGTGTGGATGAAATTGATTCTTTTGGGTGGTGGAGCTTGGTTATGTGTGGGGAGAGGATTTGTAGTAACGTTGGGTTTCTCAGGAGGTAAAATCACCCCGTTATCAATGAGATCTTGAATCTCATGACGCAATCGAAAGCACAGGTCGGTGTCGTGACCGTGCTGCTGGTGAAACGCACAATACTTGGCTGGATTGTGGGCAGCGGGGAGTCTTTCCGGTAAGGGCCGCGGCTCTAGGGGCTTCAGATGCCCTTTTTCTGATCAAAACCCCCAAAGCTTTGGATAGGGGCATATAAAGCGGAGCGAAGGTTCTGGTATTTTTGGGAGGGTATTTGGCTGTTTGTGGGTTGTTTCCGGACGCACCGGAGAATGGTGTGGCTGCCATAGTTCTCGGGGAGGGGTTGGTGGTGACCATACTCACTTCGGAGGTCCTGGTAGTTGTAGCGCCACTCGGGCCTGCATTAGTATTACGATTGAAAGTTCTGCTGGGTTGCTCCCGGTCGTTATCAATCAGGCCTTGTTTTAAGGCGTCCTCGATCTGCACCCCCATTTCATACAGATCAAAAAAGGTAGGGAAGGGGAGTACAATCATCTTTTGCATTAGCTTCGGCTGAAGATTGTCATCTTGGCCGTTGAAATAACAGTACTGACATCCGCAAGCCATAGAATAATGCTACTACTAGTATTGGTATTCCGAGAGAATGGCCTTTATGTGGGTTCACTTGTTCTGTGGATGATACCCTTTTTGAATGCACACTTGATTTGGACCCCCAGCTCATGTAAGGAGACAAATGTGGACAACAACGCCACTATCATTCTCTATAACATGTCCGGCTCAAGGTTCTGGACCACTAGTCAGACTTGTTCTCTTTCGGTAGGGCTATTTGTCATTTAGGCTGCCTTGGCTCTCCACTAGGCGACAAAATCGATGAATGATTCTTTGGAGTTCTGGGTAGTAGCCTCCAGCTCACTAATGGTTATTTTTATCTAGGTTTTATACGAATACTGATTGACAAACGCCTTAGACAGCTCCTCCTAATTTCGTTTTGTAGAGTCCTCCAACTTAGCATACCAGATGGCCACCACATCAGATAGGATTCTTCCAAATAACGAAAGCTTCTGTGCTCGAGACAAACCCATGGGCCTTAGTACATCAAAAAACAACCGGACATGCACAATCGGATCTTCACTCCCATCGAATCTGTCGATGTGGGGCATCTTAAATTTCTTCAGTAATCTGATCGAAGCCTCAGTGTACCTATCTTCGATATCTGGAATGCAGTTGAAGCCCTGGGATTTCTTCAATGCTTTCTCCAATCTAGTGATCTTGACCAAGGCTAGATCAATTTCATTGATATCGAAATGAAAAATCCCTGCAGGAGGTTAAACTGGAGGCTGATAAGTTGGAGCCGGGGAAAACATGTCCTAAGGATCTGGGACTGGTAGATTTTCTACTGGTGGGGGTAGATCGAGATTTGGTTGAGCAGCCGGGATCGAGTGCACGGTTGATGCTAATGCCCCAGATGTACGCCGTGGGTTGGTAATGACTTCACCTTGTGCAGCCATCCTCTGGTTTACGGTGTCCATGGTCCTTTGGAAGACAGTCATCATGGTAGCGAATTCCTCTGTGTTCTATGCTGTATTCTGTGCCATTGCTAGTCTAGGTGAACTAGATACCAGTGAACTAATTGAGTGAGAACGGGTAGGTGTTTGTGGAGTGCTTTGTACTGATGCTACTGACCGTCTGTTCCTTCTTCGTCGAGTGACTGGAGGAAGCGAGACTAACACGGGTTGACCACCAACAAGGTCTTGAGCTTTACACAGCCTACTG